ACAGACATGGACAAAAAAAGCCCCAGATAGGCAGACAGACATGGACAAAAAAAGCCCCAGATAGGCAGACAGACATGGACAAAAAAAAAGCCCCAGATAGGCAGACAGACATTCCGTAGAATCACCCGTTCCTGTTGTTATCTACATTTGCGACCGCTCAACTTTGAAGACGATCTCAATGACCCAGTGAGAAGATCATCGATTTGAACCGCCCAACGTCTCACTAGATCCTTACCGTCTAATGTTGAATTATATATACTGTGGTATCTCATTTAGTCCTCGACGGTGCTCAAACTATGTTACTTGTAGTATCCCTGATTAAGAGGAAAAAAACCCAGCTAATTCTTGTTCTTGCATCTTTCTCTTTCCTTCCATATCCATTTCATTCATGGTAAAGATCATCCTAGAGGGAAAGGTTCAAGGTAGGCGAGCAAGAGGCAGACAGCGTTACAAATGGGAGGATAATATCAAGAGATGGACAAACAGCAGTATGAGTGAGTGTACATCAAGGGCAAGAGACAGGGCTTGTTGGAGATCCATTGCAGCCAACCTTCATTGTGGAGACGGCACCTGATTGATTGATGACTCTACCCCAACCTCCTTTTTTCACGCCTTTTAGACGTATTGGGCATATAGTGCTAGACTTATATTTTATAGGCAAATCAGCACTGAGTTAGTGATGTGGTCTGTATCACGCAGCCCGCCTTTACTTCCAAGGGCCTGCACCTTGTACCTATTCACGACTGAGTCGACATCAGGTTATTGTTGAAAAAAGTCCTGCTCCGTTAGGACCCGAACCCAAGATCTTTCGACCCTCAGGCGAGCGTCTAGCCGCCGCACCACGGAGACTCCCTTAATATATATATATATATATATATATATATATATATATATATATATGGATTGTATTATTTGTGTCCCTGTTGTTTGTGAACATCATGGCTGCAAATGGTCGTACGGTTTTCTTAACGCTCATGTCTTCTTTTTCTCCTTCGCGTTGATCGGCTTTAATCTCCGGCGGAAAGTTCCGGTTGTTCGTCAACTTCTGGAATTTAGTCTTGTTTCACAACTCGAGTTTTGCATGCACCTTGTTTCACAGATCTGGCTTATATTGTGCAGACTGTTGCGTCATCGCCTCTCAGGCAGATGAACTCTCCTACTTTAATGGAAACGTTTCTTATTAGTCCCTCTTTCGACAAGTTTGTTAGGGAGAATAGGTGTATTCTCTCTTTGCTCCACAATGGGTCCGCGGATCCCAAGCGGGACCTCACACTCTCAAAGCTGCGGGTTTCTTTTGCAGACTACATTTTAGGTTCACTAGTACAGTTTTTACGCAGATCCCCAGGGATCGCCGCTGGAGTCACGGAATTCTTGCCACGGCTGTCAAGCCGTTCTGCTGAGAGTCAGAGCTTACAGGAATAAACTCCGGTACAATGAAGTCGATTCTCTAGACTTCTAGACTTTAGATATCGACTTAGGTGCACTTGTTTTTGTTGTTTATTGACTAAGACTTTGGTTGAAACGTTAACATTTTTATGCCCGTCCCTTACTTCCGTCAAACTCTTTGTCATAGAATATGTTCGTGTTATTCTCAGGCCCCCCTTCAACAAACCACATTTAGAACCACTGTTCTGAATGGCCGGTTCGTTAATTTTTGTCATGTCAAAGTCTGGTTTACACCGAACGAGCATTTCATTTTGTCTTAAATTGGCATTGATTCGAATCTTCGCTCACAGACACTACATTGTTGATTGATTTGAACTTAATAAAAAATACTCCTGGCCCATTGATATATTTGCATGGAAAAATGCACACGCTTATTTCAACGATTTTTTGTTTCGGTAATAATGCGATGATGGTTTTTGCACGAGTTATTTTGTTGGATATTTGATGGCTGCTGCTTCATGTTAAGCGAAGAATACCAGCCATTTTTATTTTGATATCTTGGATAAAAAGTAATTACTTTATTTTTCTTTAATTTTTTTTTCTTTTTATGTTTATATTTTTCCTTACGGAAAGATCTGTCTCAAGACACGATTTTTCTTTTGTGTCTCAATTTGTGCGAAAATTGTCATTACTGTACCGTAGCAATATTTTCGTTTCACTTTCATTTAGAACTTGAATTCGTTCAAAATATGATGCTACTATTTTTTAAATACAGTTATTAAAAAAAAGGGGGGGGGAGGGGGCGCTGTGTCGTCTCTCGGCAAAGTGTCCTCATCGAGTGCTAGAGGTTTCCGTGTTTAATCCCCGGTTAGGGCTGAAATTTTTTTCACGTCGACTTGGACTTCTAATGTTTCATCCTGGTCTCTGGGTAGTGAGATTGGACGCCCGTGTGCATTATTGCGCACGTAAAAAAAAATCCAATGGCAAATTGGGAATCGAAAAGAGTAGCCTAACGCGCTGCCCAGGCAAAATTTGGAGCTTAAAATCTACCCAAAGTATTTCAGGATCCATGCCGGTGCTACAGACGAGTTAGAAGAAGAACGGAGCACTTATGGGTTGTTCAGAACCTCAAAACCCTAAGATACAGTTATTTAGCAGCTATTTAACAGAAGTGGCTGCAGTTATATGTCTTTATTTTCTTTGGTTAGACAAAATTATTGAAACTAGTTTAATTTGATTATAAATCTACTCGATAAAAATAATGAACACACACCGGCCTCTCGGAGTTGCACAAAACGGGAATTTCCGTCGACCCGGATGACTTTGTAAAAAAAGCTATAGCCGGCAGTGTTTCAACTAAGATCCCGTTCGTCAGTAGCTGACTCCAATATAACTCAGATCAAAAATAAAACACCGGTATATGGTAGTGATATTTTATACCTACGGTACAGGACGCTTGAAACATGACATAATAGCCAGATTGAATTATGGTGCACGAACAATCGATTCCAAAAAGTCTACAGTCATTTACACACACGTCTACAAAAGATAAATGTTTCGGCTAAGTCAAAATGCACCTGTTTAAGAAGCAAGGAACCAACAGTGAACACAAGTCATGGAGGAAGACCACAAGTTCCACCACTCGCCTTGAAGTGTTTATTCTAGCAGTGTCGATAAAAGGGATGCATAAGAAAAAATGCAGATGCTGCGTACCGTTGGGTACCTCCGGAAAAAAAATCTGTGTGTTGACGAATTGAGAGACCTACTGTCCATGATTAAAGAGTTAAAATAAATTCGAAGGCACGTGGTTCTAAACTGGGTGTAAGGTTTAAACAACGGATCAACATCATGGCACAAGAGTAGTAACCCATAAGTGCTATGTTCTACTTCTAACTCAAATCGGAGTCCGAAGCATCTCAGTGCACTAACTCCGTAGCATCATCGAGGATCTAAACTGACTGACTATATAAAGAAATTAGTGTTTTTGTCTCTATCATTTTAAAGACACACCATCGCATCAGAATCTCGTATGTTTTGAATTGCACGCTTGAGAAAAAAAGATACCTAAATACTAGGGTAGATCACAAAGATCAGTGGTGGTTTCCCCCATGGCCTGACAACAGCAAGGAGTCTCACTGGAGGTGAAATTAGGATGTAGAGAACATCAGTTTTGTGTTGCAAGAGATAACGAGGGAAGTGTTATTAGTATAGGAGAGAGATTATAAAACTTAGCACAAGAAGAAGGGAGGAAGAGAGAGCGAGAGACAGGGGCATGAGGAATAAAAGAAGTGTGAAAAAGAATAGGAGGACGAGAGGTAGGAGAAGTAAGAAGAGATGAAAGAGTAATAATAATAATGATTACAATAATAATAATAATAATAATAATAATAATAATAAGAAGAAGAAGAAGAAGAAGAAGAAGAAGAAGAAGAAGAAGAAGAAGAAGAAGAAGAAAGAAGAAGAAGAAGAAGAAGAAGAAAGAAGAAGAAGAAGAAGAAGAAGAAGAAGAAGAAAAAAAAAGAAAAAGAAAAAGAAAAAGAAGAAGAAGAAGAAAAGAAGAAGAAGAAGAAGAAGAAGAAGAAGAAGAAGAAGAAGAAGAAAGAAGAAGAAGAAGAAGAAGAAGAAGAGAAGAAGAAGAAGAAGAAGAAGAAGAAGAAGAAGAAGAAGAAGAAGAAGAAGAAGAAGAAGAAGAAGAAGAAGAAGAAGAAGAAGAAGAAGAAGAAGAAGAAGAAGAAGAAGAAGAAGAAGAAGAAGAAGAAGAAGAAAAAGAAGAAGAAGAATACCATAAATAACAACAATAAAAAACAACAGAAGAAACAACTACAACGACCACAAGAACACACACACACAACAACAACAACAACAACTACAACAACAACAACAACACGAACGAGAACAGTAATAAAAAGAACACAAGAATTAGGTAAACAAGAATAACTGTAGTATTTGGGGGGGGGGGGGGGGGGGGTGGGGGAAGGGGGGGGGGGGGGCTCTATTCGTATTGTCTATTGTTCCACCCCACGAGAACAAACTGGTGTACAGAACAATCACTTGGTATTTTCCCAATCGAAGTTGACTGAAATTGCCAACTTTTAACATCCATAGCTGACAGATCATTCCTGACACCAACTACGCAACAGGGTGCGGGGCGGGGGGGGGGGGAAGGGTGCGTGGCGGGGGGGAGGGGGGGGGGGGTAATAGTGTACTTTATTCACGTGAAATTAAGATTCTGACTGCACTCCAGCCTTATAAAATGGGCTTCTGTGGTGGCGTCTTTGGTTTAGGCGTTGCCAGGGTGCGTTGTATTGCCAGGTTTGATCCCGGCTGCAGGGAAATTGACAGCAGACGATCTTGCTTTGGTTTCAGCAATGATAACGAGAGCCGACCGTTCATAGGCAATATAAAACTCTTCAACATAAAATTGCATAGAAAACACTATAGATAAACACAAATGCTGGGGTTGGTTCTACAATGTCCTGCAAACAAAAAGGCAACCAAGTTTACCCCCACTCTCAGTTATCATGTTTACATCTTTGATTTAGCGGTTTGTATGCTATGTGTCTTATAATTGTTAGTTCAAATTGAGTAATCCGCTCGTTATTTTCTCACCTCAGGTGTACGAACTAGAAAGGAGATTTAAGACACAGAAGTACCTGTCGGCACCTGAACGTGAGCAGATGGCCATGAGTATTGGGCTCACTCCCACCCAGGTGAAAATATGGTTCCAGAATCATCGTTACAAACACAAAAGGCAACAGAAAGACAGAGAAAAGATGGAAACGTCCAGCTCTAAGGAGTCCGGCAGTGGGGGACAGTCTCACGGCAGTTCTAGTCACAAACACAACACGAGCTCATCGACCGGCTCTTCGGCCTCTTCATCTTCTTCGTCGTCCCCGCGAAAGGTGACGGTACCAGTTCTCATCAGGGACGGGAAGTCCACGTCAGACAATGGCAATGGAGGTAGTGCTGGTGGATCTACTGGATCCTCATCGGCGTCATCAGCCTCGTCGTCATCTTCTCTTATCGGACATAACCATCAGCATCTGGGCAGCAGTGGAGTTGGATCTCCTCTAGGGAGTTCATCTCTGCACTCTTCTTGTGCCGTCAACAAGAACAGTCTCTCCCACCACCACCATCACGACAACTTCCTCAGCACGCCATCTCCGGACCTTACAGCTGCGCTCACATCCCATGGACTCAACCAGCCAACTCTGTCCCACCATGGCCTACACCACAGTATGGGGTACGCCACCGGAGCAGTCAACGGCAACGCCCTTGCCTCTCCCACTCCTTATCTAATCAACGGCAGGACCTGGTAAAACACACGTCCGCAATCTTGACTTACTGCTACTTTGCTTCAGAAACTGTCAGGGGCGAAGACGCTTTTCTTTTGGAGGTTGGGCGCCAACTGTCAACGGCAAAGCATTCAAGATTATACATTTCTCTTTTCTTTTTGTGTTAGTGAGGACAAGAAGGTATGGCCATTGCGCTATTGTACGGAAAGAGAGTGTGGTACACATACATGATAATACTATTCTAAGATTCAGGGCAGGGCGTTTATCAGTGTGATGTTCAGAGCAGTTCAACGGTGGAGCGTTCAGCGAAGTATACATCATACAATTTTGCAGCAATTTCCAAACATCGTTTTTTTTCCTCCTAATAATGAGAAAACACTGACTGCTATATATTGCCATTTCTTTCTCACTATCGAGGAAACGTGTCTACCATATCGGACTGTAAGTAAGTAAATGCCGAACTACACTGAACAGACACCACCAGGCTACACGTATGGAGCACCCGACCCTGTTCGGACTTAGGGTTACGTCGGCGACCTCCAATGTAATCCGACAGTTGAACGCGATTTCTGGGATTTGTACCTTTGGTATTCTCATGCGAACAATAACTGGTTTAGTCATCAGGTCCTGGTCGCTCAGTATGCGGTCCCAATGGTGGGTTAAACTTTACTCATTCACTGGACATCTAAACTGATCACGTGAAATTTGAGACTGCGCGTTTCTTATTTCAGCTTTTAACGGACCTTTTGAGATCTGCCCCGATGAGATCTTCATCTTTAAAGTGGCAATCCTGCGAAAAGCAGTCGTATAGAATATCGAAAAGCCACCACCTGGGCATCTCGATTAATATTAAGTGATCACTGCGTAAAGAAGAAGAAGAAGAAACAACAGATAACCAGGAAGTTGATGATGGTTCAAACCCAGAGATACTCTGTCCCTGAACAGACCCCCGGAAGAGCCGTCAACAATCCGAGACAACTCCAAATCACTTACGCTGATGACTTTTGCACTTATGAGTGACTTCCCTTGTATATAAACACAATAATTGCGTCCCTTATTCCTTATCTTTTCAATGAAACAATTCCATTATATATATTCACATTATTTCTTTCCCAGCGTGTAACATTTTCTGCAGCCACGTAGCTTGTGTCGACGTTACAACGTAATGGAACAATTAATTTATGTGTATCACAAATCATACAGTTTGTACGAATATATTCCAGAAATGTTTACACACACAATTCCATGAACAACTACTCAAGGGGGAAAAAAAGGACAAATAAACGATTATCTGGAAAGGGAGGGGGTGATGGGATTTGTCTCAAGTTGTCGATTTTCCATTTTTTTTTCCTTCTTGATGTTCCCACACAAATTTTACTTTTCAAGCTGTGTTTTGACACTTTGCGAAACTTCATAGCTTGTCGCGTTAAGACTGCAATTATTCCTTCAAGGAGAGAAACGATGTTCTGGCGAAAGTAATTTTCGATTGATTCTGGCGTCGCCGGCGGGGAACCAGCAGACTAATGGAGATAACGCACTGTGATTAGCTGGTCGACAGTTCCAGAATTCTCAGCTCACTTTACCAACTCGGCGCAGTCTCGGTTGAGTGAACATGTGTTATCGAAAAGACTTGTTTATTTTCTATTGTATTATGGTAAACCTTAACATACAGGCATGCATGTGGTATTATTGTTGCATTGTAGTTTTCTTTGTATTCAGTAAAAAAACAAACAAAGTAAGGGATTCTTATTTGTTTTTAATCCTTCCGGAACATCAGGTAAATGATACCAGCTGTATATTTTAAAAGATCGATCTACCGTCAATAAGCGATGTTCTGAATATCAGCTCATGGGTCGCCACAGATTACGATCCCTTGTTGCCTGGAACAGCTCTCTTGATGATATCCCTCCATGCCAACCAGCATCATCTCTCTTGGTCTGCCTCTACTCCTTTCCAAACTGATCTTTCCAGTTGTCGCGACGTTCTCCAATATCTCTCTTCTCATTGTGTGACCAAAGAACAGTGTTTGTCTCTTTCTTATCGTTGTATATAGAGATCTACTTTCATTAGTCCCCTGCACAGGATATTTCCTGCTACCTATTTAAAGCAGAATCGGCCTTGGAGTAAGGGTCATTTGTATTTTTTTTTTATTTTGCAGACCATTTTAGAGCTTGTTTGCTTATTATTCCCTAGCTTCTTTCTAGGTCGTACCCAACATAGCGCTTTCTTCTTTATCCTATAGCAGTTTTAACAGTAGATGTCCAGACGTTTCTCTTGACCAGTGCTGTACCAGTAGGCGTTCATGTGAGTTGCCACAATGAAGAATAACCGTGGTTGAGAAATAACTAATGCTCTACCCTCAAAGTAGCAATACACTCCTCACACACACTCGCGCGCGCGCCCGCGCACACACACACACACACACACACACACACACACACACACACATAAACACAGCTATAATTCCATTGGCGAAGCCAGATTTCTGTAATATGTTCCGACTAAATGTGTAAATTAAGAAAATGCATTACGCTGTGGGGTGGATTAGGGTGTGGGTGGGGATGGTTGGGGGAGGAAGAAGCCACAGGGTCACTCACACACCAGGCCGTAGTTGGGACTGAACGAGTTTAAAGAAAAGAGCTGGTTTTATTACAATAAGTTGAAATATTTGTTTAATTTCGCCTTCCGCAACTGTAACCCGATGGTTTCACACCCAGTGATTTTAACAGTATATATTCTGATATCAGTCGAGCAGGACCAGATACCCCGTTCAACCGTACAAAAACAGTTATACCGCGACAGCCTACGGCTAGACAAGGTTGTCCTGCGTGGGTGGAGGAAGTACGATTTCATATACGTACGAATGAACTCTACTTTCGAAGAGTCACAAATTAGGCACGCAGGCCCGTCTTATATTTGGCTCTTTCTTAGAAGAGAGGGTCGGTGTTTGTGGCTCAGGCGTTGCGAAGGCGCTTGGTAAAGGTAAACTCGGGAGATGTGAACCAGCGTCATTGCACACGGTTATTAACCATAAGTGCTCTGCCACCAGTACGTTCAGCTGATTAGAAACTGCCCGCCTGTGTCGCCGTTCGCACGCAACTCCGTAGCTACAGCGACGTTCCTTCATTTACCCCAGAGTGTTAACTCAGGTACCCATTACCTAGAGATTGGGTGAACCCCGGGAACCGTCTGGTTTCGGACACCAGAGTGGGCCGCAGCGAGTCGCATCACGATTTGAAAGCGAGTCTCCTATCGACTGTGCTAACACGGCTCCTAGGAACGTTGACGTGCCTGCCAGAAGGTCTTCGGTTCGAATCCGCACCGAGCGGAATTTTGTTTGTGCGGCTCCTAAATTGACCCAGACTAAAATTTGTATCAGGTAATGTCACGGGAAGTCAAGGCGGCATGCGTGGTGTTGACATTATCATATATCATCTATCGAGTGCCCAGTGATCTATACAATTACGAGTCTGGGACCATATGCTCAATGCGTCTGTTGCACAAAAAGGTCCCTTGCTTACTTCGCTACCTGGCGGCCATAGGGGATGTGATTACTTTACTACCTGGCAGCCACAAGGGATGTGCTTACTTCACTACCTGGCAGCCACAGGGGATGTGATTACTTCACTACCTGGCAGCTATAGGGGATGTGATTACTTCACTACCTGGCAGCCATAGGGGATGTGATTACTTCACTACCTGGCAGCCACAGGGGATGTGCTTACTTCACTTCCTGGCAGCCATAGGTGATGTAACAATATTGGATCATCTACAAACTGTGTTGGCTTTGTGGCTAAGTCGATGCGAACGCTTCGTAATGCCGGGTGCCGGGTTCGATCCCAGCTGAGGGCCATACGCCTTGCTTAAGAGTCGAGGAACCAACCGCCTGCATAAAATTAAGCTATATCTGTCAAACGGATGTGCGTGAAAACTCAAGTTCTGCAACAAGACTGTACTCCAGAAGTGGACGAACAGCCGGAAATTTGCTTCGGAGTTTAGAGCCCGCTCGCTTTCGTATCCGAATGTCGTGGGTTCAGACCCTAGAAGAGCCGGACTTTTTTTAAAGGACGTTCACTCCCAGGTAGACGCAGCGTTTAACTATACTAGGTAAAGTCCTGGGAAGTAAAGGCGGCTCACTTGATTTTGACTACGTCACCCATAAAATGCCGATTTATATTTAAAATATAGGTCAAACCCTACATGCCCAGTACGCGTGGAGAAGTGTCCGTTTCTCTTCCCCTCTCTCTCCTCTCTGTCTATCTGTCTCTTTCTCTCTCTCTCTCTCTCTCTCTCTCTCTCTCTCTCTCTCTCTCTCTCTCTCCATCTCTCTCTATTTATGGCTTAAAGCGAAATGCTAAAATTAAAAAGACGAAAAAGAAGAAGACGAAGACGAAGAAGAAGAAGAAGAAGAAGAAGAAGAAGAAGAAGAAGAAGAAGAAGAAGAAGAAGAAGAAGAAGAAGAAGAAGAAGAAGAAGAAGAAGAAGAAGAAGAAGAAGAAAAGAAGAAGAAGAAGAAGAAGAAGAAGAAGAAGAAGAAGAAGAAGAAGAAGAAGAAGAAGAAGAAGAAGAAGAAGAAGAAGAAGAAGAAGAAGAAGAAGAAGAAGAAGAAGAAGAAGAAGAAGAAGAAGAAGAAGAAGAAGAAGAAGAAGAAAAGAAGAAGAAAAGAAGAAGAAGAAGAAGAAGAAGAAGAAGAAAAAGAAGAAGAAGAAGAAGAAGAAGAAGAAGAAGAAGAAGAAAAAGAAGGGCACTCCTTTGATCCATTCCCCAAAATGGCGGCATGCCACATTCTGGCCATAAAATATTCAAAAATATCCGAACGACGGTGTTCCCGTATATCTAAAATATGGACTGCCGGCCAACGGACAAATCGCGGCAAAACTAGGATTACTTGACAATCACTATCAACATTTGCACACGGTACTAGTAGCAGACGATAAATACCGACCGTTGACAACAATTTCGAGCGTTTGTGCAGACGATACTAGCAGACGATATTAGCGACCGTTGACCAATTTCAAGACATT